CCTGTTTAGATTCCTAAATACAGTCGCCATTATCTTAAAATAAATTCAGAATTAGAGAGGGAGCCAGAGTACATAAACCAAGTCAGGAGTGTCGTGTTCATGTTTTTGGTGCCAATAAGCTTTGTTAAATAAGACATCTTGAAAATGGCTATACATCTTTATTGCTCTTTTTGGGTACCACCAAAAAGTGTTTTAAATGAATGACTGTGGCATAAAATCATGGCAACAAAATAATCTGTTCTCTATTAAAGGACTTTACCATAATCTCACATTAGTAAAAATGATTTCCAGATGTTAAAATGAAATAAATTGACTGTCTTCGCTTAGCAAAGCCAAAATGAAGATGCTGCATGTGGAAAACTAATCATGCTCGTCGTTTTATTGATCATCAGCGAAGAAAACCACCTGAAAGCTGGACTTTAGGCAGGTTTTTCTGGGGTCGTCTGTTATCGCATGTAGGAAAAAACAGGAGGCATGACATAAGATGTAATTGTTGCAATCCATAAATCTTGAACGGGTTATAGAGCTGAACCTTTTGAAGTTCATTGAAGTTCAGGGAAAAACATTTACAAGTGGAAAGATTTAAGACAGTTGCCAACGTTTCCTGGTGTTGCTGAAGAGAATTACATAAGACAATTATAACCTTATAAGCAACACCTTAAATGTTGAAATTCTTTGGAGCAGAAAAAGAACAACTTTGGCTTTTTATGGAAGAGGTACGTTATTCTGAGCGTTATATGGCAAAATTGTATCTGGAACAAAGTTGTATCCGGTTGTTGATCATGTCACTTGTGCGACACAAAAAAGGTTTCTATTGCATTTTTACAAAGTCATCCTAGCACAAAAATGTTTCCATCGCATTTCGGGAGATTCTTTGTTTGTTTTTTGTTTTTTTTCTAAATTGACATATTTCTGTTAAGCTTCTTAATTTAATATGGTAAATGTAAATGCAGCTAATGATTAATTCCTCTCTATACCAAAGCATTGTACAATCACATGTGTCTGTCCTACAGCTGAAGCTTGGTCCAAACTACCTCATGAGCAATTAAGCAAATTTAGAGTGTGCCACTGTGTAGCCTAAATATTGTGAAATCTACTTTTGTACAATTGTAGTTAGTTTATTATATTCTGACATATAAAAAGTCTGAATAAAGAGGGTGTACTTTCATTTAGACATAAGGAAATATACTTTTTGTGATGTTTTAATACTTATACTGCAGTTAAAACTCTACTCTAGATGTTAGAATAGCATTATTGATGAAAAGAAGCTGTAGATAGTTTGAGGTTTGAGACTTGGCGAGGGTGAAAAGGATGTAAGGGGAAGGTGTCTTGGTGGGACCGAAGGCCTGGACCCAGCCCTGGTCGTTAGTGCAGTTGATGACTCTTACAGAAGCTGTTTTGTGGTCCTCGAAGGGAGTGAAGGAGAGCGCCGATGCAGACAGGGTCTGTCTGCACACTGAGGTCTGTTGTCCTCTTTGCAGGTTTCAGCATGTGGCTAAAACATTACTGCCTCCCAAAAAAATCGACTTCCACCGAAAAAGGAAAGGGAAAAAAAACAGGCTGGAAAAGTACCTGTCTGGGAGCAGGTTTGTCAAACTGATCGTGCGTCACTCCATCGTTGACTGGTGATTCTGTGAAATGTCAGCCCATTTATCTTTGCATTTATGATCAGCCGAAGGTGATAATTGGTTCAGCACTCCATCAACTCAGTGTGTGTGTGTGTGTGTGTGTGTGTGTGTGTGTGTGTGTGTGTTGTTACTTGGTTTTTCTTTTGAAGTTCAGCTCAGACATATAATTATTACACAACTCCAGTTAGAGAGCGATAGCCTCAGGTGTTCTTTAGACAGAAGGAAACGACTGCTGAATATCCCCCGCTTTTTCTTTGAGTCATCTCCTCCAACGCTCCAACACTGGTCAAATTTTCTGTTGATTCTGAATCATACAACAGTTTAGTTTTTTGTTTTGTTTTTTTACTTTTTGAGTGCTTGCATTCAAATAAATAGATGGCATCCTCCGACAGGGTTTTGTTACAAGACACATCTCAAGCACCTGTATATTGTTACACCCTACCTCTGAGTTAAGTCATTTTATTTCCTTTTTAATTTTTGAGGAAACCAGAGCACATGGAGTACACCCATGTATAAACTCACAGAAGATCCAAATGCCACAGAGAATCCAGAGCCTTTTTCTACAGAGGGACAGTGTTAACAACTGGGCCACCCTGCAGCCAAGACTGAATGACTGCAACCTTTGCAACAAATATGATCAAATTATTAGAATGCAAAGACAACCAACTAGACTTTTGTTAAAATGGAATATGCACAATAAAACACTGTCAAATAACTAAACATACTGGCCATTATGCAAAAACATGCATTGAATAAATTCTTAAACAATATATTTGACATGTAACAAACAGTTATATGTCAGTATTAAACCAGCATAAAATTATACAAATTTTCGGTTACTGCTTGAGTATTTTTATTCCACTGCCAGATGTCGATGGCAGTGGCTGTTTGATGCTACTATGCTCCAACCAATGAGATGTTAGATTAAATTTGTAGTTTTGATTCATGTTCGACTTAAAATATCTGAAATACTGCCTATCTGATGACATGACCATTTTCTCCTCCACGACGTTCTTCTTATTTTTAAGCAGTTATGAGGCACAGTGGCAAAACATGAAGCTTCTACTGCGCATGTTGCTTAAAAGGTTTCTGCAAAGTAACAAAGAAGTGACACAGTAAGTTGATACCACCAACCTTTGTTTGCTTGGCCATGATGGATCAAGAGTCTTTTCAGTTCAGGATCAGAGTTAAGTGAAATTGTAGTGAAATTGGACATATTTTCTGTTCACATTGATCATGTATGTATTGCAGTAAATCTTATTATTACTTTATCAATCAGCATTAAATTCAGTTCTAGCAAAGTTGGGTGTCTCCATTGGCAGTGTGTTCCTCACTATGTTGGTGTGAATATTGACAGAAACGTGGATGGGCCATGAGACTGAGAACAAAATAACATGATTTTTGTCATGCAACTGCGACAATGAGAACCGACTTCATCACATCAACCCAACCACACAGGGTTCTTTGGCCTACCAAAAAGTGGGTTGAAAAGAATAACCAGTAACCTAGATTACTGAAAAATTGGTATTCTCTTTGTTTCCTTCTATACTTGTGATGGGATAGCTGGTGCCCTTCCTCAGCATAGACACACAGAGAACAAATAACCATGCATACACTCATTGACACCCAAGGACAATTTCAGAGCCAAATCCTTAAATCTACATTGATTCTGTACAAACAGAATAAAACCAAGATTTGGCTTAAAGAAGGAACTTTGAACAGAAAGCATCTAGTTTTACTCGATTTCTGAGAGTATTGATTCAGAATATGTGGATCCTTTGAATAATTTGGACTGTGAAGTTTGCCATCCGCTTGTACTCTAGTTTATAACCAAATGTTCTTTTGTCTGTTATAACTGTGGCATAATTTGTTAAATAAATAAATAAATAAATAAATATACAGAAATGTCACTTTCTTTATTGTTTAGAAGTATTATTCTCATCATCTTGTTCTGATCACAGTTAAAAGTGGGCAGCTTCCTGAGCTTTGCAATATGTCTGAAGTTTTTTTTTACTCTTCTTTGTTAAAAAGTGGTGGTAAAAAATCTGTACGCCATCACTGTTCTTTGAAAGGCTTTGATCTGCTATATTGACGTAAATTGGAGAGTAGCACGCTGGCTGTCTTGTTGTGTTAAGCATATGGACTAAATTCCTTCCATGTGTGAAGCCCTATGAAGTAGAGATCAGTCTTTTCCATCAAAAAAGGGAAGGTAGGGAGATCCAGATGCATTCAACGGTCCCTCCCTGCAGAAATTATTCCTTTGTATTTTCGTCTTTTCTTTTTTCCTCATACTCGCGCACATCTTATTTCTTTTAAACCCGTCTTTTTCCTTGTAAGTACCCACGCTCCTGGCAGATGTGAGTCATCGCTGGAAACGGCAGAGCTATTAAACCGAACATCGATCCAGTGTTTTTTTGTTTTTTTCCCCTGATCCGCTCCACGTTTTGCAGAAGTTCGTGGCCAAAGAGGAAGTGCCTTGGTTTCTTTGGCAGAAGAAAGACTCTAGCCTGGCTTCCCCCAGTCAGTGGGGGGAGTGAAAATTTGCCTCTCATGTTGCTTGTGCAAACAAGTGTTGCTGTTTGATATAAATTTTTTCCTTCCTTCCAGAGGGTTTGAGAGGAAAGAGGGCGTTTGTGAGGCTCACGGTGGCGTGAGCTGCAGCCGAGGCAGAGGCACGACCTCATGTTTCAGAAAGGAGGTCATCGGGAGAGGAAGAAACGGGGTCAATTCTCTTTGAAGCAGTGGCAAAGTGCTTTTACACTTCTTACCCACAGAACTTTCACAAACACAATACAAAAGACAACATCATGCGAGTGAAAATAAAGTGAAAGTTTTTCTTTTATCCAAACATCTCCTTAGGAGGGGAAAGACACAGAGCCACTGTTCTTTGTGGTTCAATGGTGGGGTCTCAAGTACGTTGGCTGTAGGAGGCAGTAGGTCTTCCTAACTTTCACGCCACTTGTTCAGACGAATAGCAATGAAAAGGGGAGAAGTTACTGAGAGAGGCTGAGGAGAAGGGGTGGGGGAACCAGACAGAGTGGGAGGGGGGGTTTGCAGAGTTCACCAGTGCGAGGGGAAGAAGGGGTACACGGAGAATGAGGCTGCACACGAATAACTCTCCCCTCAGTTTGTCTGGAAAATCCAACTTCCCTGAACTCTCTAAGGCAGCATAGAGCTCTACTGAGATGAAGGAGCTCTGTGTGCACCCATCCCCCTCTTCCTCGGCATCTTCCGGACATTCCGCGGGCCAGTCCCCCGTGCGAACTGCAGGCCATCCCGCTACCCTCGGACTGCCACATGCCCCGTCGGCAGGCTCAAGCGCGGCCATGAATCCCCTCCGACCTGACTACGTGTCCGTTTGTCTCTTGGCAGACGAGTCCTACCAGAAGCTGGCCATGGAGACGATGGAGGAGCTGGACTGGTGTCTGGACCAGCTGGAGACGATACAGACGTACCGGTCCGTCAGCGACATGGCCTCCAACAAGGTAGGATGCTTTCTATTTACATCAGAGCTGTCCAACTTTTGGTTTCAGGTGTTGTGTTGGAAATGTGGGTTTCATTTCAAAGATAAACGAAGAGAGGGAGCTTTGGTCTCTCTTTGTGTTCAAACTTACAAATAATACGGTTGCGGTCTCAGTCTGTCCTTCTACAGTTTAAATCCGTAGTGCCTTAACACTTAAACATTAGAAAACAACCAAACTCTGAGACTGACACCATCATGACAGGACAGTTTTAATTCCGCTCTTCCACACTTCTGTGTAACTGCTCTGTCTGCTGCGTGGTTGTTCATATGCTCAGCATATGCAAAATGTTTGCTGCCACATTGACGCACTTGCAAATCATTTTAGGGATCTCGGATACAAAAAAAGGAGAAGCATGAATAGAGTGTTTTACATATTAAACAACAAGCTTCCTGTTATCTCTGAAGATGTGTAAGTCCTGCTCCATGGAAATGGTCACATTTCATTTGCAGACATGCTTTTCAACTGACTGCAAAGGTACATGATCATAGCTGAACAGAGGCAGCGTTCAGGCTAGTGCGATGTGCATATTGGCTCTTTTGTCTTTATCTGACTGAGATGCTTAAGCAAATTAGCTAAAGAGAAAAAGTTATAAGAAAGGTCAAATTTAAGTTAAAGTATTTGAGATCACCTGCAGTCACATACACAGGCATAAACTGCAGTAAACACTTCACCCTGCATTATGTGAACATTTGCTAGAAACTTTGCTAAGCTAATGTTTCAATATAAAGAGCACACACTCTTTGTCATACTTAGTTGCGGTGAACCCTGAAGTCAGTAAACCAGTGTGAACATATTGCTAAATTTAAACAACTCACACAGTAGCAAGGTTTTGTATGTCAAGCTGCACAATATGCAGAATTACAATCATCAGTTTCAAGATGTGCAATTGCAAACTGTTGCATCTTGGAAAGACTTTAACAGTCTTATGTCTACACCAGTCACAGCATAAAGCTAAACAACTGAGATGCTAAAGCTCAAGAATAGAAACTATTGGAAAAGAAGTGAAAAATGGAGAAAAATCTGTTGTTTGCTATCAATGACATTACTATGTTAAACAATACTGTTATGTTTTTTTTGTAGTTGTTGTTGGGTTTTTTTTGTGCAGCCTGAGCCAGATAAGCCCTGATTTTATTTTTTTGTTTTCATTGTAGTTGAGCATCTTCAGACCCAGCCCATGAAAATCCTAGCTTTAAATAATCATGGTCATTCTTCTGTCTTTTGTTTATTTTGCTTGGCCCAAGCTCTGTCTCTGCTAAAAATCTGTCCATTTTGTCTCTGACTTAGTTTTGGTGAACTTATCTCAATGCTTGCAGTTACTTTTTGCTATTACGTTTTACTTTTTAACATGCTTTTCCTCATGTTGCGCCCCTCTCTGGGCAACACACCACACACGTTGAAGAGCCCTGCTGTAGCACTTATAGGGCATGGCCAATTTGCAATGCATATCCCTCATGCTTGCCAATAGTACAGTATGATGGGACATTTTCACAATTTTGGAACTTTTTATGACTGTTGCTGATAATCCACCCATAAACAGTCTAACAGCATTCCCCCTTATGGCAGCTCAGTTGAAGTTAACTGTGAAGCTAATGTAAGCTTTATGGTAAGTCCTTGTTTACTGATGACGCTAAGAAACTCTTAATGAATAGGTTTAACCCTACTTTATTTATTTTTAAAGAACAAATTAATTGCTGACTACAAAAGTTTCGTAATATGAAGTAATGGGCTTTCAGCTACTTTGTGGCTTAATAGACGTGGGAAGTAAAAATGTACCAAAAAGTCTGAAAAACACAATTGCATCCCATGTAAAATGCTAGAGAGTGCTCATGTGGTAAGGTGACATGAACTTTTCAGTCAGAGTTCATGTCATTGTCCTCGGGCAAAATATCGATTCCTACTTTGACTTATGGCGTGGGGGGGCTTGTCACCAGAGACACAGCTTAGAGGACATTGCTGGCAATATTCAAGAATTAGCTTCCTGAGGTTTACTGGAGCAACAAAACATGAAACATTCTTGTACCTTTTGTTTATTAGCGTGTTAATACGTTACCATATTAGGTTTTCCAGTCAATATTTGAATTTCCCATTGTGTCTCATTAAGGCTAACGGTATCACCAATATTACTGAAAGAACACAGTGCGCATTCCAGGAAAGTTATTTGAAATCCAGAATTGTAAACCATTTAATTAAACAATCCTTTCAGAGAACATCTTGTGAGGTTGATATCTTTTTCTTAGAAACATCAGTGCCTACAACATAAAAAACACTCCCTCCTTGAATGATTAAAATACTCAGAATCCATTCTCATAATTTGTGACACATGAATAAATCCAGTCTAATAAAAGTTTTTACAATAATAAAAATTCAGATGTCAGCCATATGATTTGATTAAGATGAAACTAAACAAACATGCTGATGTTCATGTTGAATTAGTTGCTTCAAGTTTTGCTTTGATGCACAAGTGCGCATAATTTGTATAAAGTTCAGCTAAATGACTAAATGTATTACCTAACCTCCCCACTGGAAGTACAGACAGTATGACGGCGTCAAATTATAAACACTCAGCCGGGTGTATTGTCCTTTTCGTCGTCCATGTGGTCAAAGGGGGGATTAGAATTGGGAGGGATGTTGTCAGACTGTATGATGGGTGACTGTGACCGTGACACCTTCTTCCTGTCTTTTTTTATTTCCTCTGCCCTCCCCCCGATCCCCCTGCCGCCTTCTCTGCTTTGCTCCCGGTTTTCCAGACTACATTAACAGCACTTGCACACAGGTCTGGTTTTTAAAGGCTACTACGTCATTAAAGCTGGCAAGACAATGGCCAGAAGGTCATTGAAGCCTGTTGCAACACCGCTTCCTCATCAGGCACAGTGGCATTGTTGACCAATAGTGATTTTGAAAGTGCACAGGTCAACAGTTTATCGTGTTACTCTTCAATTTCATCACTGTCCCAGATTTGTTGAATGATTATGAAAGGGTGTAAGGGTTTGTTGGGTTGCCATCCATTTTTATTTCTATAACCCATGATGCTTTGCATTCATTATTTTTTGCTTACATATAGAAACAGTCAAAAAAAAGGGGGAATGTCAATTATTACACCTTAAATAGGATAAAACAATCATAAAAATTCATTACTCTTTTAAAGATTTTAAAGGAAAAGTTCTGGAAAACAAAACTTTCTTATACATCAGACATGACAATTTCTCTTTGTCTTTGAAGATTGAAGGCCTCATTACCATTACTTGGGCCAAACTTTAGAACGGGCTTACAGGGGCACTAGCCCGGGACCCAATTTTTGGGGCGGCCCCCCTAGAGTTTTTTTTTTTTTTTTTATGAATTCATGTTTGCAGACATGATGCTTTATATAGTAATTATAGACCTATATCAGATAAGTTGTATTAATATTTTGGCATTTTTATGAGTATGAGCAATATTCAAGTATTTGAAAATTATGAAGTCATAGTAATTTCTTTTGGGAACAACATGGTGTTTCTGGCCAAGGAACGTATTAAACCTACCATCAATAGTTCATACCAATTTAAGTATTCAACCACTTGTACTGTAATTTGCATTAGTAATGTTTCTTTAGTGGATTGGGCACCAAAATAGTTTCCAACCCAGGGGCCCACATCCGTATAAGTCTGGCTCTGTCTATCACCCTAATCTGTATCTCCAGTTACTAGAAAAATGTTGTGAAAAATGAAAATTATTTTAAAACTAAATCTGTGTGAATAATTTTGGGGTTAACTGCAGTTTTATATTAATTAGAAGTACATACTAGACGTAACACTGCACTGTGACCTTTGTTGTTTAACTAGAGGATCTACCCTAACCCAGTTAGTCCTACAGAAACACCAGGAATTAGACGGATTCATTTTACTCAAAGCGTACCTCCCAGCTCCTCTGTTGCAACCATTATAGTAGCACGGTGGGCATCCGTCATGAGCGCTGACAAAGAGCCCATTTCTTTTCTGACCCGCAGAATGCATTTGAACCCATAATCAAAGCCGGGGGCGTCTCCGTTTTCAGCGTCCAAGGGCGCAGGTGTGTCCGGGGGGTTTACGGGGACCACACACCCTGCTAACCGCCTGCCTGGTCAGGGTGACCTAAGAAGGGGGAGAGGGCGAGTCGTTTCCCTGACCCTCACTATCATTAGCCTCGCCACACTCCCGTGGCCGATGCCGGGTGACGGCCTTGGACAAACACCGCCATGTGAGTTCAGTTAGAGGAGTTTCTGCACCCTGCGGGTTAGCGTGCGAGCGAGACCCCGGGCAAAAGACAAGCGAGTCGGAAACTTTAACTCACGTGTGGTCACTCCAGCTTTGAAGCACCGCCGTCCTCCGAAGGGGGAAAAAATGACACAGTTATTGAAACAGATGCAGCAGTGAGTCTGCAGATGTAATGGACATTAAATTACAGTTCTGGTTCACTGTTAGAGTGGTGAGGGGATCGGATGAGCTAACTCTAGTCATTATATAAAAAAAAATGGTGCCTTTAAATCTTTATGGAAAAAAAACTAAATGGCTATCAACAAAGCCCTGTTTCTGACTGTAACTTTTCTTAAGTAATTTTCATCAAGACCTTCTAGGAAATGTCCTGTTTTTTGTTTTTTTTTTCTTTTACTGTTGCTAAACTGTGAAAGCATGTTGGACATCGTTCACTGAGTGTTGACACCGTAAACATCTGCACACGCGGGGGGGACAGAGGAGGCGACGTTGGCTCACTTTGGTCTTTGTTAGATTGCGCAGCTGCGTTTTTGCAACACGTTCCCATGCTACTTCTACAAGTTCCAGTATTTCCTGCTCGTAACAGTTCAAACTCTTCCCAAAGGAATACATTTTCCTCATTTGAAAATTTCCACCACTTCTCTGCCCTTTTTTTTTTTATTGGCTGAACTTGTTCTTAGGGACTTTTGTGTTGCGTGCTCAGGTATGTCAGTAGGCTGCCCGCCCGCTCGCCTGAGGCCATGCGAGGAAGCAGGATGTAAATGACTTCAGTGAATTACCCTGGTAAGTAAAAAGGAAGTAGGTGGGGGCACATGCTCGGGCCTGTATGAGGAGGGGAGGAGCGACAGGGGCCTCCTCTTAGGCTGTGTTACCCAGTCAGTCAGGGCATTTTATCACTATACGTTTCCTGCCTGACGCCACATCAGAAAAGAGAGCATAAGAGGCAGAAGCAGGCACAAAAATCTATACTGGACTGAACACTTGTCACTTTTTTTAGGGCCTTTTGTGAACTTTTCATTCGTGTCGGTTTTGGGGTTTTTTAAGTGACAATGGGACTATGTTGTTCTGAAAAGCAGAAGAGAAACTTTGAGATGTTCACAAGTTGGAAAAAGGTGAGTTTATTTTTTTGTCGTTTGAGTCCCGTCTGCTGTGTTTAAAGACTAAGTAGAGAATGAATGAATTATTTTGAAAGTGGATAGAAACTTCTCTTTAAAACTTTGTTTCAGTCTTGATCGTGAGAATTTGGGTCAGACATTCAGAGCGGATTCCGTGGAACATGCACATATTCCGAAGAAACATTTCAAATCTTTTTACTAGTTCAATTATTCCATCTCTTCTAAAAATGCTTTTGTTTCAGCAAAATTTCTTTTAGTTTTTTCTTTTTTTGATGCATTTTTTCATTTGTATGAGAACTCCCTGCTGATGTAAAATCTTGCACACATTAATGCAACTCATTAGGCAATCTGACATGTCATCAGTGTGCACTGCCTGTTTCAGCTGAACTACACGACCCTGAATTATCGACATTTGCCTCAAAGTTGCACAATTCCTTCACTTTGAAGAGTTGGTGACAGTTTCCCCATTTTCGCAAAGTAAAAGCCATGACATTCAGAGTGCAGTCTGTTTTTTTGTTTTTTATTTGCTCACCAGGGACTTACTGATTTTCACAAATCAGTGTGTGTGTGTGTGTGTGTGTGTGTGTGTGTGCGTGCGTGTCTGTGTTTGTGCGTGCATGCACGTGTGTGTGTGTGTGTGTGTGTGTGTGTGTGTTTCGGCTTCTTGATGGAGTTGCTCAAGTTTCTCTGTCGGGAAGATGTTTGCCTCAGAGACCAGATTTACTGGTTTGAGTATAAAGAGACCCTAATGGGAGATCATTTTTTTTATTTAAACTGGGTCAAGGCAGCTTTCATTTTTCAGGATGTTAACAGTAGAGATGCACCGATGGGATTTTCCTGACAGATACCGATTTTCCTACTTTCCTTTGTGGTCCGATCGGCCAATCACAATCCTGACTGATTAGATTGTTTTTTTTCAAAGAGCTATAATTAATAACAAAGGAGAAAATTCACAGCAAATATTTGACTGAAGACCTATTTGACAGTAGTTAAAAAATTACACACTTCCTAACCTTAATCAGATTCTTTTTAAATCAATAATCACGAGGCACATTAGTTTTAATACATTTAATGAATAGGGGGAAAAAAATTCATTGTCCAATTGTTCAGGGAAAAATTGCCAACTCCAAGATATAGCTGCTTGATTGGTGCGTCTCCAGTTACCATTATTGTTATTGTCTGGGACTTTTGATGTGATCATGTTTCCTGTTAGGCAGCAGGAACTGAAAGCATCCATTTAGTAGCTTTTTCATTTCCCATTTGTATTCATGTCAGACTCGGCTTGTTGCAGAGCGTTCACACGCGCCACGCCGTCTACGGCTCTGATATGATCCGGCTTATATTCAGAGAGGGGGCCGCCGTGGGAATGATAAAGCGGGAACATGTGACGCTGCTGTTGCTATGGCACTCAGGCATCTGTGTGGCTGGTGGGCTGAGCACTCCTGAATCTCATCTCAATTCGATCCTCTTTATAGGAACGAAACATAAAAAGAAAATGTGGTTAAAAAGTCAGATTTATTAGGGAAAAAATTAATCAAACAAAAAAAAGCAGTCTGCTGCTAGGAAAGCCTTGCATTGCGCAGTGTGCGCTGCGTCTGTTTTGCGTTACTGAGCAGGGGGGAGTGGGAAGAAAAAGAGAGAGAGGGAAAGATGTAGGGGGATTTTCTCCTAGCTCTCGTTTTCTGCAGCACTTCACACTGCTGTGCGTTAAGTCGAGGGTGGGAGGCAAAGACGGAGAGAGACGCCTCACTCCTCACTCCGTCTGCCGCGAGGGACTCTGCAGATTGTGCATCCCACCCTCCCCCCATCGCCCTAGCTTCCTTTTTGCCACCCTCCCATCGCGAAGCCTCACTCCATCCGCAGCTCGTCACTGGATAACGCTCAGAAGACTCCTGGAATAGGAACATCGATCAGGTCTCCTGGGGGATTCCGTCACTGTCTCCCTTGAAGACAATGGATGCGTCTGGGAGGAGGCGCGTCCGGAGGGTTGGGATGTAGAGGCTCCGCTGCCGCAGCAGCCCTCCTCCGGAGACGGCGCATTGTTTTTTTTTGTTTGGGTCTTTTTTTCCCCCCTGTGGTTTGGGTGGCTTCTGGAGCGCCAGGCTTGCAGGGCTGAGCTCTGCCTTGGGGGTCCACTCAGAGAGGAGCATTCGCTGCTTCTGCTGGGGAGCACCAGGGGCTCTGGACAGCTCAGCACCATGCCAGAGGCCAACTACCTGTTCTCCGTGTCCTGGGGATACATTAAGGTGTGTTCTGTCGGAGAATCGGATTTGAAAAACATGCCAGATTCGGTTTGAATGCGTCCGACAGATCCCTTCCCACTGATTCAGAAGACTGCGGCACGAACAAATGCGCATAAATACCAGTTGACTGCATGGCTACATGTCTATATTTTTGCACTTTGCGGTTTTGACAGCAAATACTAACCAAGACCCACATAACGGCGCTTACAAGCAGGAGAAATTGACAGTAAGAGCCATTTCTCATCTTCTTCTTCTTCTTGTTTTTTCACTTCTAGTTCAAGAGGATGCTGAACCGAGAACTGAACCACCTGTCTGAGATGAGCCGCTCGGGCAACCAAGTGTCGGAGTACATCTCCAACACCTTCCTAGGTAAGCACTGCAGCATCACATAACGACTGCAGCGATCATCAGAGCGTTGTGAGGCAGCGTCAGTCAGGAATAACAGAGTCAGCGACAGCTAGAGGTCATAAGGTGACTCAAAGTGATCCCTAAGTCTTGTTAAACCAGTCGAATCCGGTCTGAAGAAGACCTCTTGCTGAGACCAGGGAGAGTTAGAAGAGATGCTGCATTATTCAACAGGAGGACAGCACTGGTTATAGTTTTTAAAAGCAGAGCTGTGTTTCATGACTCACAACTAGCCTCCTATAGAATTCCCTCCAGCCTCTATTAGCTTGCAGCCTGTAGACACTGTACAATTCTTTGAAAACATGTTTAAAGTTGACAATAATAGGAAGGAAAACTCAAAGAAACGTAAGCTTTTCCTATCAGCTTGAGAAAACTGTTAGGAAAAAATTGTACATGTTTTCCAGTCTATATATCGTCACCTTCCTAAAATAACGACCCAAGTCTTTTTTTGCCAAAAGATGATTTAGGAAAAAAAAAATATATGTATGTATTACTTTTGGCAAAAAATGATTTGGGTCATTATTTCAGGAAGGTGACAATATTATAAATCAGAACCAGATGCAACGTCACTCTGTGTGAAAGAGTAGCCCTGTCATGATAACTAATACTGCTGGGTGATAAACTGTCCCAGAAGTTATCGTGATAAGCGATAATATTATTGTTTTGAGACCATTTTCAAAACAACAATATAGTTGGCATAGTAATGCAAAAACACTCTCTCAAAGACCAAGAGACTTTCATTTCTAACATTTAACACTAGAATTGGAAGACATTTTATATATATGCAAAATAAATAAACAACAAATAAAATGTATACAGAACTCTCGATGAACAAAATTTCCCCTCAGAATGTTTATCTATTTGAATTGATTTATTGTTTATGGCGACAGGCTTATGTAAGAGTAGAAGTCTTGCTCTCTCTCGCTCTCCTGCAGCCTCTTATAGCGTTAAAGCAACATCTTTGCACATCTCAACACTGATATAGTGAAAGTAGCTAACTTTGAGTTTTCTTCCTGCAGTAACAGCTTCCACACCAAAGTGTTGTTGTTTTTGCATTTACTGTCAGGAAACAAAAAGTCAGCTTCAGAGCAGATTCTAGTCACCAGCAGCACTTTCGTTGCATTTCAACCAACAAATAACAAAAAGGAAACGGCAGAGCTCCGCTCGTCTTTGAAGGGTTTTTCTTTCTGCAGTGCATCTGACACGCGTCAGGTTCAAACACATCATTCTGCTGGGTTTTGTGGAGGATGTAGCTGAGACTTTTTTTTTTGTTCGCTGCGGTGCATACGATCATCAAAAATAATTTCACTGTGTGCAGCATGTGAGCGCCGTCAGCCAGCAGGCAGACAGACAGACTGAATCACACACTCTGACTTTGCCCACATATTTACATGTCTCTTTTTCTGAGCATCTGAGCTGAGGATGAGCCGTTTTGTTTCCACTTTTCCCTGAACTGTTGTCGCCTCCAGGTTTAGTTTCGCAGAACGCACCGCCAGAATATTATGTGGCAAAACATCTCATTAGCAAACCTCAACTGCTTTTATTTAATCGCAGCACTGTCGTCACATTCGGAGTTTTTGATTTTTAATTTAGGTTTTCCTGCAGTCAGTGGGAGTTTTAGTGGAGACAGAACAACTGTTTATGCAACAACCTCTCACCTTTTAAATCGTTTATTTAATCATTTCTTCTTCTCCTGCTCTTTCTGGTGTTTCCCACAGATAAGCAGAACGAGTTGGAGCTTCCGTGTCCTGTTCAAAAAGTGAGAGAGAGGAAGAGGAAGCAGAGCCAGCAGCAGCAGGGCGGGATGATGACACAGATCAGCGGGGTCAAGAAGGTCAACCACACGTCGAGCATATTGGGAAACGTCGGCAACCGCTTCGGGGTCAAGACAGATCAGGAAGAGCTGCTCTCAAAAGTAAGCGAATTACAGGTGTTTTTAGCTAAAATTTGGTCAAGGTAAATTAAAAAGAAAGGCTAAAGATGTGAACTTGTGTGTTAACAGGACCTGGAGGATATTAACAAGTGGGGGCTGAATATCTTCAAAGTGGCGGAGCATTCTCACAACCGACCACTCACCTGCGTCATGTACAGAATCTTTCAGGTTAGTTCCTGTCTTCTACTTTCTCAACATGGCAAACTCATCACTTTTTTATTTTTTTCTGTATATAAAATCAACAAAATTCTAGCCAGGCTTGTCATGGTTACTAATTTTTTTGTAAAGAACACCCAACACTAGAACTGGGAGATATTTTAAATATTCAAACCAAAAACAGGAGAGGAAAACCCCACAAAAAATAGAAACAGAAAAACAGAAGTAAAAAAAAAACACAGCCAAAACCATAAATGAGATGGATTGTGAAGTCTCTGTAAACAAAATTCAAAACATAATATGCAAATATAAACTTTTGAACTCCTTTTCATTCATCATGTCAGTAACTGGTTAAACATTTATTTTTATTATAAATATTTACTGTAAGTTGCAGTACTCCTAGTGATGCATTCACATTTCTCATAAATCATTGGTCATGAATGTTGTCATTCTTGTTAATTATAAATATTTTAATCCCTTCCATCAACGGATGAAAATTAGCCTCTGCGACTAAATCTGGCATATTTACTTAACATATTCAAGTTGATTAATATGCATCCTATCCTTTATAAAATTAAAATAAACTCACAAAAAATGTTTTGCTTATTCCAACAGGCTTTACCTAAGCTTAATTTGACACCAAAGCGGCGTAAAAACATCTCCACTTAATAATTTTCTTTTTGTCCTCATTTTCGCCCACACTCAGGAACGAGACCTGATCCGCACGTTCAAAATTCCCACGGACACCTTTGTGACCTTCATGCTGACCCTGGAGGACCACTACCACTCAGACGTGGCGTACCACAACAGCCTTCACGCCGCCGACGTGGCCCAGTCCACGCACATCCTGCTGTCCACGTCCGCCCTGGACGTAAGTGGCCCGAACCTGCCAGAATCCAAACTGTTTCCGCAGAGCTGCGCGGTTAGCTAATGACTCCATCACCAACGCCCCTTTCTAGAGCTATTATGTCTTAAATGAGGCGACTTGTATTGCGTCATTGCTCAGCGCATGCCAGAGACGATGACACATGAAAGGATTGGTCTCCAATTGTTGTCTGTTACCTCGTCTTGTTTGGCCAGTTCATTAGCCGAAGCTCATATTTTTCTTTTTTTTTTTTCCTCTTTCAGGCGGTCTTCACAGATCTGGAGATCTTGGCAGCCATCTTCGCTGCAGCCATTCACGACGTGGACCACCCAGGAGTGTCTAACCAGTTCCTCATCAACACTAGTGAGTCTCTGTGATTGATTTTTTTTTTTTTTTTTTTTTTAAATTTTTTTTTGGCTCTCTCGTAAGAAATGCCAGAACGGTCCGAGGAGTCCAAAGGCAACATTGTAAACCTGGAGCAGTATTTAATTTCTTCCTCCATTTGCAGACTCTGAGTTGGCTCTGATGTACAACGATGAGTCAGTGCTGGAGAATCACCACCTGGCTGTGGGCTTCAAGCTGCTGCAGGAAGACAACTGCGACATCTTCCAGAACCTGAGCAAGAAGCAGAGGCAGACACTCCGGAGGATGGTCATAGACATGGTGAGGAACAAATCAGCTCGTTGCCTGATAAATGAAAACCAGCGCGAGTATTTTTATTTGGACATCATTCGTCCAAGAGATGCTCCCACTTTAATATCGTGGAAAGCCGTCATTTTGAGAAACGCTGCAAACATTTGATGCTAAATACAAAGTAGTTGGCTTGCACTACCTGCCGCTATTTTTCATGTCTAAGCTGAATGATTATTTTATTGATTATTTTGTGACAATAAAGCTGAAATACCTCATATTCTCCCCTTTTTGTCCTCCAGGTTCTGGCCACTGACATGTCCAAACACATGAACCTCTTAGCGAATTTAAAAACCATGGTGGAAACCAAGAAGGTGACCAGCTCCGGCGTCCTGCTGCTGGACAATTACACCGACAGGATGCAGGTGAGGGAGCGCTCTTCGCCAGCATCCATCTGTTAGAAACACCACGAAAGGGGAAAGACGGATGCTCAGATCTGCCTTTCCGTGTCTGCAGGTGCTGTGTAACATGGTCCACTGCGCCGACCTGAGCAACCCCACCAAGCCTCTGGATCTGTACCGGCAGTGGACCGACAGGATCATGGATGAGTTCTTCCACCAGGGCGACCGGGAGCGGGAGAAGGGGATGGAGATCAGCCCCATGTGTGACAAGCACACAGCTTCAGTAGAGAGGACTCAGGTAGAGACCACACACCTGGACTGTAGTAATTCATAGAATGATTCCAGGACCTCCATTTTTAAAATTTATCGAGGCAAATTATCTGCCTTGAGTCTTCGTCGAATTATCCTAATTTATTCTATTACTTGATTAACCATCAGAATAATCAATAACTCACTTACATCAGCTCTACTCCATACCATACTAACATTCCTGGCCCGTTTCCTCTTTTGCTAACGTCTGCCTGATCTGTTCCAGGTCAGTTTCATAGACTTCATCGTCCACCCTCTGTGGGAGACGTGGGCCGACCTGGTCCACCCGGACGCCCAGGACATCCTGGACACGCTGGAGGACAACAGAAACTGGTACCAGAGCATGATCCCCCAGAGCCCCTCGCCTCCCTTCTACACCAGCGATGGAGAGGGAGGCCAACACAGTGAAGACGGTCCCCTAGCGAGTAAATTCCCCTTTGACCTGACCACGGACGATGGCACGCCGGCGGACACGGCCGTCAGAAGCGACTGTGCGAGTAGAGGCAGTCCCTCTGACCTGGACGGGACAGAAATGACGACATGCAACGTCTCGTCCGCAGAAACATAGCCGGAACCCGTGGCGGTCCCAGAACGGGACGGTTTTTTATGCTGAATTTTTGTTTTTAGTTGCAGTGGAGGCATCCTGCAATGAGGCTTTTTGGAGCTATTTGGCAACCAAGGCCTGTCTGAATGTTGGGCAAACCCCCTGCAAACAAGGCTCAGAAACCCTGTTGCGGTATGTTTTTGCGTCCCTGGCAAGGGAGAACTGCCGAGGCACGGCTGGAATCGGAGTCCTAACAGACCGAAAGTCTGGATTAGTCGGTATGAATCTACGAACTGGGGAAAAAAAGACTTCCAAACTTGCACTTCAGGACATTTTTATCTTCATGTAGAATATTTGTAATATCTCAAGACTAAATAACACAACCAAAACTACTGGTCAGTAGGCTACTTGTAACCACGTAGTTTTTTTTTTTTAAACATTTGTCTAAAAAAAGAAGAAAAAAGTGCCTTTTTTTGTTCTCTTGTACAACCATGTCATTTTGTAAGAGTTTTTATAATTTATTTAACATGTTCATGTAGCTGTAAAATGTGTCCAGTTTTCTACAAGAGGACATCATTGTCTCGTAGTCTTCCGAACGTTCTGGCAATAGTCTCAAGAAGAATAAATCTGTTGACTTCCCAGCACAATTTGCACTTTGTGGCACACTGTAGAGCAAAGAGAGCGTGGAATGCTGTTTTAGAAAGACAGCGGACATGTGAAGCCAAATAATTTCATGCAAACAACCCAAATATATTTTTGTTTTTTACCTCAAATTCATCGAAAAGACTATTACATAGCTTCTGGGTGGAAAAACGTGGAAGTATCCAAAGATCGTCTGGAAAATAACAAAAGCACTTTGATGATTTCAGTGTTGCTGAATCACATCCTAAAAAAACTTCCTCTGCTATTCTGGAGCAACATCATCGAATATCAAAATTTATGACCCCTTGTTTAAAATGTTCGAAGCTTATTTCTAATAGCATTTCCCCATGTGAGTCATTTTAGAGCTTTGAATAATTGTGCACAGATTTAAAAAAAAAAAAAAAAAAAAAAAAAAAATTGTCTTCTTTTTGTTGTACAACTCATGTCGGGGGGTTTTTTTTTATTGTTTTTTTTTTCACCTCAGCACCTTGAAAATTGCCAACAGCCCTGCAGCTGGTTGCAGATCTGTTCCAACACTTCCTAAAAGGTACCACGATGTATGGTGAGGGGAGATGAGTTTGTAGTCATAACATGACATTCTTCTGTGAATGTGTGCACGCTTGAGCGTGCACATACGTGGTCACAGAACCGCACAATCCCGTCGCATGCAGCTGTACAGTGCCGACAGTAACGGCGTATTTATTACCTTTTTTTTTCTTGTACAATGATAATATTGGTTGCTAATATTTACTGTATATTTGCTATTATTTATATGCACTACCACATGTCAAATTACACTTTGACTGAAGCTGTCTGGTGGTTTGTCTGTATTCAGTGAGATATTTTGCCATCAGACCGCCTCTTCATGTCATGGAAGTATGTTTGCTTTGAGACTCCAGCCAGAAACGTTTGTATGTTCTCAGCCAAACGATCCGGCAAGGCTGGACATTTACTGCAGCAGATTGTGTACGGTGACAGGTCATTGTACAGCTGTAGGAATATTTGCTGAAATATTTAGCATTGTTTCAAATGTATTTTTTCAGTGTTTTCCTCACAGTATATTGGTTAAAAAAAGAAAGAAAAACAACAACAATGGTATATGTTGTGCTCAACAAATGTTTTCTATGTGATTATTAAAATGAGCATGTAAAACAGAATCATCTTGTCTGGATGTGATTTAGTCATAAATACTTTTCTTTTTCTATAATACAACCCTTTACTAAAGTTTCAAACAACTTTGTTAACATAATTATCTCATACTCTGACTTCTATTGATAAATATCTATAGAAGTGTCCAAAGAATAATATTTGTGTTCCTGGTTTTATGAATGCAGTCCCATTCATAACACCACCGATAGTCACCTAAAGAAGACGTAATAAATTGTTTATCATTATTTTCATCGTTATCACAATACTTCCACAAAATATTGTGATAAAATTCTGAGTCTATAGTCCACCCCTATTTGGAGAGAAGATTTTTCTCTGACATAAATGATTTATTAAAATTGTACAGAAATCTGAACTAGGTGTTTTGTGGGAGAATTTGCTTGCTTGGTACTTGAATAATTAGGAATAATCCAGAATGTTGACAAATAGTTATCTTCCATTTTATTCCTTTTTTTTCTAAATCCATAAATGTTTTTTTTCTTCTGAGAACTTAAAGCGCCAAAAAAGACCAGAAATTTTTTTATGACGTGTCCTAGTGCTGTGTGAATGAATCTGATGTTTTTTGTGCCTTGAAAACATGCAAGGCAAGTTTCCCAAACTTTTCCAAGCAACCCTCATAAACATGGTCATGCTCTATGATCTACTACAGATAATCAACAAGACACAGGTCCTGGTCTGCACCTATGCTGATGACATCTTGCACTTTGTTAAAGAATTTTATATATCTATCAAACTCTTACTGATCCTGCCTATGTATATTATTTCTAATAGCTGCTTCCAGCCCATTTAGTGGTTATGATTTATTTGCTTTATTTTCATAATGTATTTTCAAGAAGTGAGTTTTAGAAAATGTGTTCATTCATGTTATATTTCCTGGGAATATAGCTGATATTCTAATGAGCCGCTGACGCTGAACATTACGTACTCTCCACGCTTCACAAACGATGAGACATCTTCTGAAATATTGTTTCCCACACTGTTTCAAGCACAAACACGGCCATCCATCTGCGGCACACCATTGGCCGCTTTTTGTTTTGCGTTTTTGCGTCATGGTTGTAGTTTTGCTACTATGCTAGGTGAAGAAGAGCGATGGGTGAACAGGAAGAAGGAAAAACAACTTTATCCATTCTTCAGTCACTTCATTGCTGCAACACCTCATTTATTTTCTTTTTGTCTGGTCTTGAGCTTAGTGCTCCTGGCCACTGGTCCTGCAGTGTAAACAGGAAGAGTGGAGATAGTGATGCTATGTGCTGTGTCCTCTGGGCATTCTCCCTCCCTTTTGCTGTAAACACCTTGACCCAAACAGATAAGCATCAGAAATACGTGATGAACAGAACAGAGTGCAGAGTAAGATTAACAGGAAGGAATGTCTTTCACAGATTCCACGTGATGACTTCCACAAAGTAAAAGAAAGGAAGTTTCAACAACAACAACAACAACAACAAAACATGTTTAGCTGCCACACTGTCAGAATGACTGGCACATTAAAAGCCATGCAAAAGCCTCTTTTTCCTTTTTTGTTAAACCCAACGAAACCTTATGTGATTGGCCTTATCAGGAAGGTAACTCTGACTGGATGTTTGCAGTCATTATCCTGCTGAGACATGGAAATTTAAAGTCTTTTCAATACTCTGCCGGGATTTCTTCCATGTACCGTGTTTATGGCATCTTTGTTCTCTCGTTCGCTGAAGTTCAATTTTAGTCTTGTCTCAATAGAGGACCTTCTTCCACAAATCTGCTGTGGCAAACTGCAAATGTGACAATCTTATATATGTAATCT